TGGTTTGTCAACTTTCACTTATTTAACGGAGTTCTGGCCCTTCTGGAACATTCAGCCCAATGGTGTGTGGTGAGCGTTTTTGAAGATTCAGAACTACGATGTACCGCACGATGATTGGCCATTTCTCACGCTGTACTACGCTCGTGGAAAGTTCTCGAATATTTGACGGGTGTCTGACTGTCAGCTACATTTCTGCCTTATCATTTGCTGTACTGCGTATTTTTAAAGTTAGAGTCCTGCCGCATTTTAGCATGAAGGCGAGGAGTTTGAAAAGGACCTGAATAAACCGCAACCAGTGGATCCTACACCCCTCGAGGCCACCTGGAAGGTCAGTTTCCAGTAGAAATTGAAAAATATATTTGATTCTATTCAGCATATTTCCCACCGACCGCTCTGACATGACATTGAAGGTGGGTGAGCAGAAAGACTCACAGCTCCCGGTGGGGGCATCGTAGCTCAGGAGGTCAGAGCTTAGTATACTCCAGTCACGCCTATGCTGCTGCAGCTTTGCATTCCGCCAAGACCACCGCATTTTTCGCAATTGGATCTAACAATTTATTCGAATGTGTACAAGCATATAGTATGAATATAAATCTAAGCCTAGCAGCAATCTGGAAGCCCTAATTTTAACTTCCAAGCGCAGCCCGATTTTAAGGCGGAGGGATGACAAGAAGCGAAAACGATGATCGATGTTGTTTGTAAAGCTTCCTTCATTTACTTCATATCACGCACAGGAGATGGAGAAATTGGTGGATGATGGACTCGTGAGATCTATCGGCCTATCCAACTTCAACCGTGCCCAAATTAAACGAATCCTGAAGTGCTGTCGCATCCGGCCACAGGTTCTTCAAGTGGAGGTCTCCCTGCTCTTCAGAAACCGCGATCTGGTGGCATTTGCGAAGTCTGTTGGTATGCAGGTGACTAGCTATGCCACCTTCGGTTCACCGGGCATGAGATCGTAAGTTGTTTCCCGTCTCACTTGGCTGATTTAATTCTTATTCCAATTATCGTCATCTTTACGTAGGCTTCATGCAATCGCAAATGTTAATGAGTTTTGCAAAACGCCGTTGTGCTGCGTTGTCAGCGCACGAAAAAAAGCATTTCCAAGTCTACCCTGCGTTTTCAAAAAGCTTCTAGCAGTAAGGCGTGGAGTCGGAAGTATTGCTAGCCCACATTCATTCATTTAAAGCCAGTTTGCACCTCATTCAGCCTTCACATTAAGTTTAGAGTGCTAGCAACGTCCTTTTCTATGGCACCTTAAGCTATAGGGAAACCCTGGCCACTACGACATTGAAGCCCAGTCTTGAATGGAAAGAGAAGAATTTGGACGTCATTTGGGGGGTATTGTACATAATTA